AAGCTTGACTAATAGCCATGGCTTAAGGTGAATTTAGACCCCTCTTCTCGTGACTCGGATCCCGTTCAAAGCTCTTGAGTCTTGATCACCACAAAAATTAACAAAATAAGTGAACAAAAAGATTTTGGCAATGCATTTCGTTTTGCTAACACCTCCAAATTACTATCGCATAAATAACTGAAAAAAAGAAAGAAAAATTGAAAAATGAGAACCTTAATATTTAATTAGGGGTCATGAAATAAATACGGGCAAAAATGAAGGTACAAGAAATGCGAACGCAGACATGAGATGTTGGCTAAGTGGAGCCCTTGCGAACCAAGACACGTGCAAAGAAGGGTTCGAGGGCACAACAGCCAACTCAAAACCCTAATCTCCGGCAGCCTCGAACAGATCATCTCCTCGGTCGGGAAACTTCTTTCAATGGTCAGTCCAGAATCAAACCCTCCGGCCGATCCTTCCAAGGGAGACTTTCCGGACTGGTTGAAACCGGACGACCGAAAACTACTCCAATCCCCCGGCAGCAGGGCCGCCAATGCCGTGGTGGCGGCGGACGGCACCGGAAATTTCACGAGCATTCAAGCGGCAGTGCAGGCAGCACCTGAGCACAGCCGCATGAGGTTCGTGATCTACGTAAAGAGAGGTGTGTACATGGAGTACGTTCATATTGACAAGAAGAAATGGAACATTATGTTGGTGGGAGATGGGATAGACACCACCGTGATCTCCGGGAGCCGCAGCTATGCTGCCGGCTGGACCACCTTCAGCACGCCCACGTTTAGTAAGATTGACTTCTTCGTTTTTCGTATAGGTCATATATATCTAAATGGTTGGATATTTCCTGATGAGATTGCACAAGTTTAAAATAAATGTTATGATTGGGGATGGCTACAGTCCAGTCCCTGTATGATTACGTTCTTTTAATATTAATCATTGGATGTTTTAGTTCGATATGGACTCTTAGATGTAGTCCAAAAATGCTGACGTGCCAATTTTTCATTGGAGTTTATTTTGGAGGAATGGTCCCGTTGCAGGACTTCAGCATTTTTCGATTTTCATCATTGTTATTAATTAAGAAGTTAAAAGTTTGTGATTTCATTGAAAAATAATGCAGCCGCCAGCGGGCGAGGCTTCATAGCCCGGGACCTGACGTTCGAGAACACGGCAGGCCCCGAAAAGCACCAAGCCGTCGCATTCCGTTCCGAGTCCGACCTATCCGTGCTATACCGGTGCGGGTTTAGAGGGTTCCAGGACACCCTTTACCCTCACAACTTGCGCCAATTTTACCGGGAGTGCAAAATCACGGGCACGGTGGACTTCATCTTCGGCCACGGCACAGTCGTCTTCCAGAACTGCGAGATGGTGGCACGCAAAGGACTCCCGAATCAAAAGAACACCGTCACTGCCAATGGGCGGTCAAACTTGGCCGAAAGTTCGGGTTTTTCAATCCAATTCTGTAACATCACGGGGGAGCCGGAGCTGATGTCAGCTCCAGGCTCCAACCCGACCTACCTCGGCAGGCCCTGGAGAAAGTACTCGCGGACGGTCGTGATGGAGTCGTACATCAGCAATGTGGTTCGGGCGGAGGGGTGGTTGGAGTGGGATAAAAGTTTTGCACTCGACACTTTGTATTACGGGGAGTACAAGAATTATGGGCCGGGATCTGGATTGGTGGGGCGGGTTAATTGGGCCGGTTACCATGTGATTAATGACCCGGGTGAGGCGGATAAGTTTACCGTGGCTCAATTCATTAATGGGAACAATTGGCTGCCTTCCACTGGGGTGAGGTACACGGCGGGGTTGGAGATGTGAGATTAATAAATTCCAAATTGTATCTGATGATGAATTTGACGTGATTAATACGAAAATGTGTAAATGTTATCCGCCCTTTGCCTTTGGATATCCAAGCTCAAATTTCTGTTTTGGTCTCAATGCAAATTGATTTTTATGTTTTTATTAAATTTTTTTATTCGGGCCTCGACTTTTTTTTATTTTTTTTATTTTTTTTATGATTTTTTGTTATATTACGTGAATTATATCATTTAACTCTTGGAAACAATGGGTCATAGCAATTAGCAAGGCCCTGTTGGAAATAAAGGCAAAATCTTAGCCATGATTTTAAAAGAAAGACAAAGTCAAGCTTTCATATTGCCATAAGAGATAAATGTTGGGCAAGTATATATCCCTATATATAATTAGTGAATATCTTGAGCATAAGTAACAGACTCGCGTGCTTTAAGATCATATTTGTCATAATTTTATACTTTGGATTGATACATAATTAAGCTCGGATGCCATGTCAAATGTAAATTAAGAATGATTATTAAAATAATATATTAAATTTTCTTCCTTCATTGAAAAAATCATTATTTATTTCATTTTATATTTTTCTTTCATAGTTACCATAATACTTTCATTTTTATTACTTTCTTTTGCTATTACATATCTTCACTAAATCAATCATATTAACTTATTGTTCAATTTTTTTTCCATTATTCATATTTTACTTAATCTTTTAAAAACGATATTTGTTTAAATTCTAATCTAATCGATATTTGTTTAAAAACGATAATTTTACTGCCTTCCACGCCCCTCTTCAAACCTCCTCGAGCTACGATGAGGAGGTTCAGGCGCTTCAATTCAGACTTCAAATTGCAGCCCATATCTCCACCTACATTTGGATAGAGCTAAATGATGTCGTTGCTTAAACGCAGATCACCAAGGATCGTGACAGATTCAGAACCCCTCATGCGCATTAGATCCACACTTCAGTCGGTTTGCTATCGGATCCGCACATCAGGGGAAACGACCCGTTGACTACCTGGCCAGCCTAGGTGCCTCCAACCAACAGAGGCGCACCTTCAACTTGGATGACTCCCCTCTCCGCCTTCGTACTCTTGTTAGGATGGACCAGGCGGGCTACCCCTCGTTAAGATTCTAGTAGCCATCCTGTTTTTTGTGCTTCGACCCATTTTGTCTAGCAGACTGTTTGTCTTGCCACATGTCGGCCCAGGTTCAGACTTTTCCTTTTGACTGTGGTCTTTTGTCTTTCTCGTTTTTGCTTTCGGTTAAAAAAATGTTGTAAATTAAATAATTAATAATACAAACTCTAAACTTATATATAAAGTTAAAAAAGTGTGAAGCAAGACCTTAAACGATACTTGATTCATTAGACATCTCATTAAGTAAAAAATTAATCTCTTATACATAATATTCAACAACCATATTTTACATTTATTCCTATACATATCCCCATATTATTCCAATTTATTTAAGATATATATTTTGTACTCTTGTATTAGTAATTAATATTGATATTCTTATTGATGTAGCACGAAAAAGTATCTTGATGGACCGACTTGAGAAGTGGGCTCGGATCTGGCCGGTCCAGATAAGTTTAGCCCGCTTGTGTTGTCTAAAGTAACATTGTATTAGTTAAATACCAATAAAAGATTTATGAAAGGTTATGAAGAGATATTCAAGTAACCTAGTGCATATCCACACAGTTATTAAGAAGGATCAGAATCATTGAATATTAAGGAAACCCTTGTCTTGTGGAGTAAATCATTAAGCCGCTTATAAATAAGGGATCCAAGTTCATCTCTACCCTAAGCTCTTAATATTATTCGCAATTACTTAAAGTATCATTTTTTTGACTTTAATGTCGGAGTATTTACATAGAGGCCCCGCCCCCGGTGCTTTGCAAGTCAATCTGGTTCGCGGAGACGAAGGTGATCAAGATGAGGTGGTTCAAACTACAATCTTCGTGAGTTCAATCTTTTGACGCATCAAAATGGCACCGTCTAGAAGAATCCCAACATCTCTTAAGAAAAGAGGGCAAGATGGTTACGTTGCAGTTGTCGTAACATGGAGACCGTGATCGAGTATGACTGTTGTAGATACATAAAATTTGTGGTCAATCAAATAGCTCCAAGTGAAAATTAATATATAAAAAATTAAGTCTTATTTTCTATTTATATTTTAGGATTTTTCACATATTTAATTCCTAAATTTAAATAGTTAATTAATTGATATTTTAATATTTTAATTCTT